GCCCAGATACTTTGCCTTGATTGGCAAGCGCGATGCAAAGTATTGCATTTGTAGGTAAACCTGCCGTCAACTCCCAACCTTTATACTTTTTATGACATCTACGGGTACAAACAGGGTTTATGCTATTCCAAGCAAGGCATTCCACAGCACTCTGGTACCGTAGAACAGTATATCATTTAGATTTAAAATGAAATTAGATAATAACGAAAACCTCGCAAAAGTATTTATTACAATACTTTTTAATGCATCGCAGTCATCAATGAAAAACTTGCAACCACATTTCTGTGTATTTCTATTAGTCTGAAGACCTCGTAAACGGGTAAATACGAGGTTTTCATAAGAATCACTCTGGCTTTAAATAACTTGCAACTGTACATGCGAGATTATCATACTTATTCTTTAATAGAATATTTTTGTAAAAGCAGTTACGTGTTTTTCGAAACAAACTAGAACACAACATAAAACACGGCTTCGTAAATACGAGGTTTTACTCGATAAAACGTGCGCGTCGTTCGATACCGAGGTTTTCATTTTCATCAATAGAAGGTGTTGCCAGTATCGTAGCTACGCCGTTGTTCGTCGGAAATGTGCCTTACGAGTTCTTCTTCCCAAAACTAAAATAATAAAAAAATCGTGAATTTGTGCTTTACGAGGTTTTCACTGCCGGGTGACGAATTGCGCATGCGAAAAACAAAGATTTCTCCCGCACACCACTGCTCGCGACAGCAACACGTTTTACTGTACAATACGCGAACCAAAGGACTTCTCCCGCATGAGAAATTACTTAAAAATATGTGGCTAACACTGGACGCGCGAGTGACTAAAAAGTAAGGTTATATCGCCGACGGCCGCGTGGTTATCGAACCGACTGAACTGACAAAAGGGAAAAAGATGGCGTCGGCCGACTAGCCGGTGTCAGACGAAATGGCGCGAAACTACAAAACGTATGGTACGAAACTAAACAGTGTGTGTCGTAGGTGTCAGTGGCGAGGCTTCAATGTGTGATTCTCTGAGGTGTCTCTGTGGGTGTGTGTGTGTAAAATGAGTCAGTGTGACAATTGTGTGTCAAAAATGAGCGTGTGCGTTGTGTCTAAAATGTGCAAATAGAAGTTACCTGCGGATGCTCTCGACAGAACATGTCATGAGACTGCCTCTGATTCTGCGTCGCCGCATGTAAGTCTGCCAACGCCTGAAAGAGAGAGAGAGAAAGCAAATAAGTTTATTAATTAGTTAATTAAAATCGGTTTAATATACGACCTAAAATCCGTTCAAGTCTTTTATTTATAATGAGTGAAAGTCGTACAAACAAAAGAAAATATTAATTTTATTTCAGTCAACACAACACAATAACAAGAATAAATTAAATCTATAAGGTTCGGAACGAGGTTATCCGCTAAAAAGCCAAAGAAACCGACATAGTTTGGAAGTGTAGCAAGCTGAAGTGGCAGTGGGCTGGCCACATGTATCGTAGAAACGACGGACGGTGAAGCAAGCGGGTTCTAGAGTGGAGGCCACGGCTCGGCAAGCGTAGCGTTGGACGCCCTCAGTCCAGGTAGATGGACAGACGATGTTTAATATGGCATCAAAAATTTTACATGCAAGTTGTAACATTGATTATATTAAAAACGGTAACTATATTTGATTGGTTGAGACGGCCACTCGCTGCATTCACCGCCGTATGACGGCTTTCTCACTTACCTCGTGTTTAGTCTTGATAGTGTGATCCTTAGTGATCTTGAGTCTCTGGTGCGCATGCACGCAGGATTCACATATAAACTCTGCGCAGTCGACGCAGTAAGAAGTCGCCTGTTCCGTCCCTTATACAGGGTTATTTTTTAGTCAGTGCGCAAACTTATACCATGATATCAGAATCGTTAATAGAACATTTTACGCGAATAAAAAAAATATATTTTTTTAAATTATTTTTTTGCTTTTGTCCGCCTCATAAAAAATAAATCATGGACACACTACTTTTCAATCGGGGGTGCGTAAAAGTGGCAACAGCGCTCGCGCAGCGCACCCTTCATTCAGTCAGTTTCAGTTCTCGATTTGACCCCGTCACGGGCGGGCGCGCACCTTCGTGACGCTACATTTCCCGCCAGTAATCCCGAATTGATTTCGCGATGTCGAATGATACGGTCGCCTGACCTGACCCCTTGTGAATTTTTTGTGGAGTGAAGTGAAACGGCGTGTGTTCAAAGAGGAGCCGCAAAGTCGGCAGGACCTTCAAAACAAAATCATTAGAGCTTTTGAAGAGCTCTAAGGTGAAGATTACAGGCAAGTCTTGTAACACGTCGAAGAAAATAAACAAAAATGTGCCAGACTCTGTCTTCAGCAGGTAGGACTGGATTTTGAGCAACTGCTCTAGTAGGTAGGTACTCGATCGAATCATCTTTCTAAAGGCTCAGCTACACAAGACCGGCGCGCGATAGCCGCGTTCTGGCCATACGAGTTTTTGTATGAATGCCCGATCAAATTACACCCTGTTAATTTGTGTGAGTAGACCGTTTTTAGTCTTTATTCCTAAACAACTTCTCAAGGTTAGTTTACACTGACGTAGTAGCAACATTTTAGTGGCCTAATCAACTTTGACTGTCATACTTTTCTGAATTTTTCACTACTTTCTCATTAACGCACTAAATTGCTGTTTACTTTACTTTAAATGCAGATGTACTGTAAGGATAATTCGGTTAAAATCATCGAAGGGCAGGCACGCGCAAAACTAAGCTACCGCATAGCATCAGTGTACATAAAGCTTTACTGCAGCGCGGCGCGGGCGGCGGCGGTCGGCCGCCCGGCGGCGGCGGCAGCGCCGGCGCCAGATTTTTGACCCGCGGGCGCCACCATGTCTGGCGTTGTAAGACGCGGTGACTAACCGCGACGTTGTCATGTCAAACCGTCACAACCTCTGTAGTAGGCAGGTTGTGTAGGCATTTTATGTACTATCAGCAACGGCTCCAGTTGCCATTGAAGTCTTTACTGGTTATTCAGAATGTTAGAAAGACCTTTGAATGTTGATCTTTGAAAATGGGTATCATAATCTTTACTGATTTAACTGTTGTAACTTTATTCTTGTTAACTGTAAGAAAAACCATTCTTAAGTTGATCACGTAGATGGTTGGTTACTCGTGGTGCTACTGGTAGTACAAACCCGAGTTACCATTAAGGATTTAACATTTACAGGTAGGTAAAGTAGCATCACTCCATATCAAGCCGCGAGTTTCGTAAAACGTAATGAACACCAGAGTTCTCTTTTGATACAATACCCTGCACTGCGCTCGCCAGTCCAACCTGGTGACAATTGTGTCACTTCAGTTTGGTAAGGAATAAATTGCAAGCTAAACTACCGTCCGTTATAAGATGTTCAGTGCTTTAGAGGTGTATTAGAGGGAAGGTAGGTATTTAGATAGCATTGCTTACTGCTGACACAACCACGTCAGAGACAAAACACTAGGTATGTGGTTTAATAAAGGGTTCATCGACCCGATGTCCCTCACGAAATGTAAGAAATCAACCTAACTTTCCTACATTATCACATCACCCTAATAAGCCCGTTTTTACGGTACGGTACCTAGTCATCAGGGATCTGACAGCTGTGAAATCTTTTTATCATGTGGGATACGGACTCGACAAATGACCCGATCAACCCTTGCGTATGTTAGTAGTAGCTGCTCTTTCTTAACCTAACTGGGAAAAAATCCCATTACTTGATTAACAAAATAATCTTATCTCTCCGCATAAACGAACCAGGGCCCATCAGATCAAAAGACCAACATTCAAACCTCTACCTACACCACGGAGGCAGTTTAAGTGTAGGTACTTAGTTGTAGGTATCGATCATTGACCTTGACTGGTCATTGACCTGTATTGCAGGTAGAAGCTAGAACACAGTCAGCTGATAGGCCTCGCGCGCAACGTTGCCATACTGAAAGCCACGCAGCGTACCTAATAGGGTGATCCACACTTACGTACGATCCTGGGATAAGTTTAAATGCGATTATTTCAAGTTTTTTGTTCTAAGTCAGGGGTAAAAAAAAATACGTGTGTTCTAAAATTTTATAACCATTACGTATGTTGAAGCTGCGCACTGACTAAAAAGTAACCCTGTATACTTGTACGCATAAAATACTCTATTAAGCTAAAGTCATAGTGTCATGAGCAACCTAATCGGGAAGCCAAGTTACGCTGGTCGCGTAGTATTTAAGTATTGCGACCAGCGTAACTTGGCCTCCCGCTCAGGCAGGTCATGTCATTTCACGACACTATGATTGCGATAGGATTTTAAAATTAAACAAACCTCGTGTTTAGTCTTGATAGTGTGGTCCTTGGTGATCTTCAGTCTCTGATGAGCATGCACGCAGGATTCACATATAAACTCTGCGCAGTCGACGCAGTAAGAAGTGGCAGGCTCTGTCTCTTCACTTACCTCGTGTTTAGTCTTGATAGTGTGGTCTTTAGTGATCTTGAGTCTCTGATGCGCATGCACGCAGGATTCACATATAAACTCTGCGCAGTCCACGCACAAAAGTGGCTTCTCTTCACTTACCTCGTGTTTAGTCTTGATAGTGTGGTCCTTAGTGATCTTGAGTCTCTGATGCGCATGCACGCAGGATTCACATATGAACTCTGCGCAGTCCACGCAGTAAGAGGAGAGGTTATTATTATTATACTCTAAGCTAAAATGAAATGCAAACCTCGTGTTTGGTCTTGATAGTGTGGTCCTTAGTGATCTTGAGTCTCTGATGCGCATGCACGCAGGATTCACATATAAACTCTGCGCAGTCGACGCAGTAAGAAGTGGCCGGTTCTGTCTCTTCGCAACTGCTGCATTGCTGTTCGCCAGCGTTCGAACCTCCGCCTGTGAATATCGAGATATCTTTAGAAACCTTCTGTTCTGTTACACATAATAGTTACTTTAACGGGTCTTATCGCGACAGCTTTTTAGGTAAATAAGCGATTTACCTGTAGACTTACTTGCTTAATTCGCAGGCTAGATTAGAACCGCGGTAGCCCAGTTGGTAGTGGCATCGGCAGTTCAGATACCGAAGGTCGCAGGTTCAAACCTGCCTGCGGTGGAAAATTTTGCAAGTTTTCCAACAATTCGATTCATTGACATTGACGCTTTTGACAACATGACATGAATTCTTACCATGGCCATTTTCTCTAGTACGAATCGCTGATCTATCATGTTCTCTGTCTGGCACGGCAGCCTGCACACTGGACACATTATTGAGTCGTTTGTTGACTGTATTTCCCACTTAGCTTTATTTCTGTCAGCTTTGAGCTAAGCTTTATTTCTGTCAGCTTTGAGCTAAGACTTAAGATTTAGCATCAGACTGGTTCACTTCACACTTAACTGCTGGTGTTCCGCAAGGCGATGTCCTATCTCCTTTTTTCTTTATTCGCTACGTCGATGACATGATACGAATTCTTACCGTTATTGCTGCCAGCCTGTTTGATGGCCATTTACTCTAGTACGAATCGCTGGTCGATCATATTCGCGGTCTGTCACGGTAGCCGATGCACTGGACACGTTATTGGGTCGTTGGTGGACTCTATGTTCCACTTATCGTAATTGCTGCCAGCTTTGTGCTAAGACCCAAGATTTTGCATTAAACTATTTTTAAATTACCTACTAGTGTTCCGCAAGGCGGCGTTCTATCTCCTATTTTCTATATTCGATTCATTGATGCTGTTGACTACATGAAATGAATTCTTACCGTTATTGCTGTCAGCTTTGTGCTAAGACCCAAGATAAAGCATCAAACTGGTTCAACTTAACCGTTGGTGTTGCAACTCCTCATTTCTAAATTCGTTTCATTGACATTGATGCTGTTAATTCTTACCGTTATTGCTGCCAGCTTGTTCGATGGCCATTTTCTCTAGTACGAATCGCTGGTCGATCATATTCGCAGTCTGGCACGGAAGCCGACACACTGGACACGTTATTGGGTTGTTTGTTGACTCTATATCCCACTTACCGTTATTTCTGAGAGTTTTGAGCTAAGACCCGAGATATAGAATCAGACTGGTTCACTTCACACTTAACTGCTGGTGTTCCCCAAGGCGGCGTTCTATCTCCTATTTTCTATATTCGCTACGTCGACCACATGATACGAATCTTACCGTTATTGCTGCCAGCTTGTTCGATGGCCATTTTCTCTAGGACAAATCGCTGATCTATCATGTTTGCGGTCTGGCACGGCAGTCGACACACTGGACACGTTATGGTCACACGTTCTGCGCCTGCAATACAAAATGCATATAAAAATCACGTTTGTATCCCTTGCGTGGGAGGTATTGGAGTAATAGAAGCTATATTATTCTCATAAATTAAAAATGAGAAAATCGTCGCTTCGAGACGAGCATCAAGAGGTTGAGAAATTCACCAGGGTCTGCTAGGCGCCCTTAGCTCAGTTGGCAGAGCGGTGGGACGGTACCACAAATTAGGGAAACGGTGCGCGGGGCGCCTTACCAGATAGCTCACTCAGTACTAGCGACGATTTTGACTGGAAATAACCGGAATCTCAGGGGAAGTCAAGGTAACTAAGAAGGTGGTTGACACGAACGTCAAATTTTGGATTTAAAATTGGCTCAGAATCATATGAAGTTCTTTATCAGATTTTGCTGTTTTGATATTTTTATCATTGACAGTAGCAACCCTGGCTAAGTAACAATTGCCAATCGCGAAAATCTGAAATAGGGCCGAGAGAACTTTCTGTATACTCTCTATTTTGTGACGGTACCCCATGAAACCCTAGCTAGCATGGAACGCTAGTGATTTTTTCAATTTTATCATTTTCAATTTATAAGAATAATATAGCACTGTGAGTGCATTAAAAATCCCAATACATTGATAGAAGCTAATTTCGAAAAGATATTAAAAAAATTGTATTTCTACGAATAGTCGAATTTAGTGCACTTTTAAAACAGCCCAAGTTATTTTTAGACATGTCCTCCGCGACGCGACCCCAAAACAGCCTCATTCTTAACAATAACATTTTTATTACCTACCTAAGGTTTTTATTGCACGTAAAAAGGCCTCGAATGCCAAATGCAAGCTGGCATTTTATACCAGTTTAGTGGGTCATATATAACATAAGGCGACAACAACCTAACCTACATAGGCAATATTATTTAGAGTAAAACATTGGCTACGTTAGGCATTACATTAAATAAGAAAATAGAAAGAGATTGCAGATTTTCAGCAGCTTTAATTTTTTTGGATCAGTGATTTTTGTACAGTTATAAAGGATGAATTAATAAACTGATTACGAAGCTATTTTGCTTTTGAGAAAAGGAAAATCACTTTTACCCGGCTTCAGAAGGAGGGTTATGTTTTTAGAAATAACTAAGGATTAGCACAAAAGATGTATTGCCGCAATCAAGATTATGTACTATCAGCAGTACATCATACTATGACCTATAAGGGATCTACTATACCTGTACTGGTTCTTGCTTACAAACTATAGTTTGATATGTGTTATGTACGAGCTATGCGGAAGTCCCTAATCTCGCAGACGCTGTCGACTTGAACCTTTTACGTACGTAGATGGATGTTGGCAGATGATCTCTGCTAGGGCACGTTCTTCCGCCTGCATTCCAGTGTCTCGAGCCGTAATCTACCATGCATGAACACGTTTGCACGTAGGTAGAATGATCACGTCCAAAAAGGTTCAAGTCGACAGCGTCTGCGAGATTAGGGACTTCCGCATAGCTCGTACATAACATATGCTGCTGGAAGTGTTTATCAAAGTGAACCTTATCTATGAATCGATTATCTTCACTTGAACTCACCTAAGAAGTCTCTGTTATTGGCATGAGCCAGTTCCTCCTCGATCTTAGCCTTGACGCAGGGCTCGCACGCCGAATGCAGACATTCCATCAGTTTAGGCGTTCCATCGGACAATGCTAATGCTGTATTACATTGAGCTGGCCAATCTAATATGCCTGATTTGACAGCTGTCTAACCTAAAGCATGTTAGCATGGAAAATAGGCACTATTACAAACCATGCCATATAATATTATACTTTAACTAGCATCAAATTGTACGTCATAATCATGTGACTTACCTAGAAAGTCTCTGGTTATTGGCATTGGCTACTTTCTCCTCAGTCCCCTTACATACCTATTTAAGGTACCAACTTAAACATTACAGATGGACCCTTATTACCTATTGTCATTATCTCGAACTTACCTAGAAAGTCTCTGTTATTGGCATTAGCCAGTTTCTCCTCGATCTTAGCCTTGACGCAGGGCTCGCACGCTGAATGAAGACACTCCATCAGCTTGGGCGTCCCATCAGACAGCGCTAGTGCAGTGTTACACAGCACACAGTGGTAAACTCAAGTAAGGCTCGAATATAGGCTCAAATTGTACATCATAGTCATGATCATGATCATGAGACTTACCTGAGAAGTCGCTCACTATCGCTACATCAACTTACCTATTTAAGAGACCAGCTTATACATATACAAGTGGACCTTTATCAACTATTAGCGTATCTCGAACTTACCTAGGAAGTCTCTATTATTGGCATTAGCTAGTTTCTCCTCAATCCCATTACATACCCATTTAAGGTACCAACTTATACATGGCCCTTTATCAACTATTGTCATATCTGGAACTTACCTAGGAAGTCTCTGTTATTGGCATTAGCCAGTTTCTCCTCGATCTTAGCTACGCTTAGACGCTATCTCTCTGTAGGACCAGTCTCTATTATCTTTAGAAGTCTCTGTTATGGCATTAGCCAGTTTCTCCTCGATCTTAGCTTTCACGCAGGGCTCACGCTCATCATCCCATTACATACCCATTTAAGGTACCAACTTATACATGGCCCTTTATCAACTATTGTCATATCTGGAACTTACCTAGGAAGTCTCTGTTATTGGCATTAGCCAGTTTCTCCTCGATCTTAGCTTTCACGCAGGGCTCGCACGCTGAATGAAGACACTCCATCAGCTTGGGCGTCCCATCAGACAGCGCTAGTGCGGTATTACACAGTACTATCGCCACATCAACCTACCCAATTAAGGGACCAACTTATAAGTATACAGGAGGACCTTTATCAACTATGGTCATATCTCGAACTTACCTAAGAAGTCTCTGTTATTGGCATTAGCCAGTTTCTCCTCGATCTTAGCTTTCACGCAGGGCTCGCACGCTGAATGAAGACACTCCATCAGCTTGGGCGTCCCATCAGACAGCGCTAGTGCAGTATTACACAGCACGCAGCGGGTTTGCGACAGGCACGCCCGCCCGCCGGGAGACGCGAGGGAATCCGCGCCGGTCTTCTCCGCGCCTTCGACTGCGTTTTGCGTGCCCGCCCCACTTGCAACGGCGCCCTCGCTTGTGGTGCCCTGTTGGCAAATATAAATAAAAATAAATATCCCTGTCGTGTGGTGCCGGCTAAGAATAGCGTCACCCTATCTTTTTTTCTACTTAGTTTAGCTTTAAGTGTGATTTAACAAAAATCGTACATTCAACTTTAGTAAGTAGTTATAGTTCACGATATCCTTTTTAGTTATTGTTTTGTATTCCTTCCAAAAGGCATTGACTCCGGCGAAGAGTTATTGTTTAGTATGATAATTAGTTCTTTGACTGTGTCAAGAATTTAATGTTTTAAAAGTATTTATGGAAAATAAAGATCTTTACAAATCGAAATTGACCCCATGTCTTTCCCGTGGGTGTCGTAAGAACCGACTAAGGGATTTGAGAGTTGATGTGTATTGCAATTTTGGGCGATAGGCTGACAATCTGTGATAGGTGATAAATAGTCTTCTGAATGACTTCAAACTTTTGTCAGATGCGGTGTAAATTGCCGTTTTTAGAACCGTTCACATTCTGCCTACCCTGCAAAGGATATAAGCGTGATATATGTATTTATCAGTGGCGAAGGGCTCATACATACAGATTCATAGTGGCTCTCTTTTCAGAAATTTATAAATCCATACACTCTCACATCATTCTACTTTCATATTGCAAAATTTTCTGCTCTGGCTTAACTTTGCTAAAATGTCACTACGCCTTCGCCACTGGTATGTGGCCAAATGAAATGGCTTTTGATTTGACCAT